TTCTGTTTCTCAGTGGTTTGTACCCAGTGTCTAATTCAATGTGTTTGTTGATGGAGTTCCGGTTGGAATACCAGGCCTCCAGCAATTCCCTGGTGTGTCTCTGTTTGGCTTGTGTGATTATGGATGTGTTGTCCCAGTCAAATTCGTGTCCTTCTTTGTCCGCGCGTAGTGTGACAAGTGAGAATTGGTCGTGTCTCTTGGTGGTCAGTTGGTGTTCATGTATCCTTTTGGCCAATTTTCTTCCGGTTTGGCCTATATAGTGTTTCTCACAGTCCTTGCATTGTATTTTGTATATTAAACCGTTTTTACTGGTTTTGGGTATGGGGAGGTGATGGCCTAGTGGCATTATCACTGTACTGTTAATCCAGAGACCCAGATAATGTTCTGGGGTTCGAATCCTGCCATGGCAGATGGTGGAATTTGAATTCAATAAATATCTGGAATTAAGGGTCTAATGATGACTGTGAATCCATTGTCAACTGTCAGGGGAAAAACCCATCTGGTTCACTAATGCCCTTTAGGGAAGGAAACTGCCATCCTTACCTAGTCTGGCCTACATGTGACTCCAGACCCACAGCAATGTGGTTGACTCTCAACTGCCCTCAGGGCAATTAGGGATGGGTAATAAATGCTGCCTGGCCAGTGATGCCCTCATCCCATGAATGAATTAAAAAAAAATCCTTTATGCTTGTCAGTAGCTGTCGCAAGGTGGTTGGAGGTTTGTGGGAATGCTGATAACCTAGGGTCTGAGTAGTCTGTGGTCACCTCTGAAATGTCTTTGCTGTGCGGTAGGATGATTAGTGATTCTGGCCGTGTTGTGTCTTCCTGTTGTGATCTGTGTCGGAGGTAACAGTGGATTGTGCTTTTCAGGTATCCATTCCTTTTGAAGACTCTAAATAGGTGCTCCTGTTCTGCTTTGCGTAGTTCCAGATTGCTGCAATGTGTTGTGGCTCATTTAAATAGTGTCCTGATGCAGATCCATTTGTGGGTGCTGGGGTGATTGCTGGTGTAATTGAATATCTGGTCCATATGTGTGGTCTTTCTATATACGCTAGTCTGGAGATCCCTGTTGTTTTTGCGTTCTACCATTATATCCGGGAAGGGTAGTCGGTTGTTGTTCTCTTCTTCTTTCGTGAATTTTATCCCCATAAGAATGTTGTTTATGTGTCAGTGGGTTTCTTCTAGTTTCATGCATTTAATAAGCACAAAGGTATCATCGACACATTGGACCCAAAGTTTGGTTTGTATAGTGGGGAGCGCTGTCCATTTCTAACTCTTGTATTACTGTTTCTGCAATCAGTCCTGATACTGGGGATACCCAATGGTGTCCCATTGATTTGTTTTTATATGCTGTTTGTATATGTCATGAAACTACTAGATCTGTGCCTTGCAAACCACTTCACTTCCAACGACAGCATTTACAAACAAATCAAAATTCAGACCCCTAGGTACCAGAGTAGCCCACAAAATGACAACCACCCGAGAACAGCAATTGACGAACGTAAAGGATCCCATACCCAATACCAGCAAAACTAGTTTAACATACAAAATACCATGCAAGGACTGTGAGGCACATTACATAGGCCAAACCGGAAGAAAATTGACCAAAAGGATACACACACACCATGAGACACGACCAATTCTCACTTGTCTCACTACGCACGGACAAAGAGGGGCACGAATTTGACTGGGACAACACATCCATAATCGCACAAGCCAAACAGAGACATGCTCAGGGAATTCTTGGAGGCCTGGTATTCCAACCGGAACTCCACCAACAAACACATTGAATTAGACCCTGTGTACAAAACACTGAGAAACAAAACCGGAAGTAATACCATGCACCCCAGCAAACCGAAGCATATAAATAACAAGCGGGACAGAACACCAACACTTCACCGGAGGCGCACTGACAATGTTACCAGCAGGGTGACGAAACATTTACAACCAAACCCACCCGCTCAGCGAACATGTCTACAACCTCAATGTTGGAATCAGTTATAAAGGAAGGAATAGCAGCACATTTGGAAAAGAATAATCTAATCAAGCAGATCCATGAATGGGAAATCACCTCTGACTAATTTATTAGAGATTTTTGAGGAAGCCTCAACCAGAGTTCATTGAGAGGATCAAGTCAATGTGTTGTATTTGGACTTCCAGAAGGCATTCGACAAGGAACCTCATGAAAAAGTTAAGTCATAAGAGCCCATGGTTTTGGAGGTAGTATATTGGCGTGGACAGAAAATTGTCTAATGGCCAGAAAACAGTGAGTGGGGATAAGGGACAACAAAGTGTGGAGCTGGAAGAACACAGCAGGCCAGGCAGCATCAGAGGGGCAGGGAAGTTGGCGTTTCGGGTTGGGACCCTTCTTCAGAACTGGACAGGGGGAATAGAGCTGGGAAATAAATAGAGAGAGGAGGGGTGGGGCTGGGGAAGGTAGGTGGGATGGTGACAGGTGAGTGCAAGTGGGGAATGCCCGAAATGCCAACTTTCCTGTTCCTCTGATGCAGCCTGGCCTGCTGTGCTCCTCCAGCTCCACACTTTGTCATCTCTGACTCCATCATCGGCAGTTCTTGCTATCTCTGAGTGGGAATAGGGGGTTCTTTTTCAGGTTGGTGACCTGCAACCAATGAGTTCCACAGGCATCAGTGCTGGGAATGCAACTGTTTAGAATATACATTATAAAGTTAGAGGACGGAAGTGAATGGACTGTAACCAAATTTGTAGATGACATCAAAATAGGTGGAAAAGTAAGTTGTGAGAATGATGCAGTTTAAAGAAAGACATTGCTAGGCTAAGTAAGAGGGTAAACAGTTGGCAAATGGAGTATAATGTAGGAAAATATGAAGTTGTTTGATTTGGAAGGGCGAACAAAAGAACAGAATATTATATAAACGTAGAAAAACTGCAGGAAGCTGCAGAACTTCAGCTACTTATGCAGGAAACACAGAAAGCTAACACACAGGAGGAGCAGGCAATCAGGAAAGCAAATGGAATGTTGGTCCTTATTTTAAGGGGATTGAAATATAAGATTAGGGAAGTCTTACTGCAACAAGGTGCTGGTGGGACCGGAGTACTGTGAGCAGTTTATCTGAAGGCATTGGAGGTAGTTCAGAGAAGGTTCACTAGGATGATCCCTGGTATGCAGGGATTGTCTTCTGAGCCAAGGCTACACCTCATTCGAGTTTAGAAGAATGAGAGGTGATCTCATTGAAACATATCGGATTCTTTAGTGGCTTGGCAGGGTAAATGCTGAGAGAATGTTTCCTCTCGTGGGACAGTCTAGGACTAAGGCACAGTCTCAGAATAAAGAGGCTCCAATTTAAAACTGAGATGAGGGATTTCTTCTTTCAAGGTATCTGTGTCTTTGCAGCTCCTTGCTATGGGACTCCGGACTCTACCTTCACCGTCCGGGGGCCCAGAATCTAGATTGTGACCCCGTATTGTGGAGGCAGAGTCCGAGGTCCTCATGGACAGAGAGCTGGGGGTGGGGGGTGTGGGGGGTGTGGGGAGGGTGTTGCAGAGTCCTTGTGTATATTTAAGGCTGAGATATATAGATTCTTGTTCAGTCAGGGAATTGAGGGTTACAGAGAAAGGGCAGGAAAGTGGTCACGAGGATTATCGGATCAGTCATGATCCTATTTTATGGTGGAGCAAGCTCAGGAAGCCAAACAGCCTACTCCCATTCTTACTTCTTATGGTCTTATTGTCTTAGGTTGCAATCACCCCGCATTGTTAGTAGAGTCTGAGATCCCCCTGGATTGTGTTGGTAGAGTCTGAGATCCCTCTGGATTGTGTTGGTAGAGTCTGAGATCCCCCTGGATTGTGTTGGTAGACTCTGAGATCCCCCTGGATTGTGTTGGTAGAGTCTGAGCTCCCCCTGAATTATATAAGTGGAGTCTGAGATCTCCCTGCATTGTGTTCATAGAATCCAAGATTCCCTTGGTTTGTGTAGGCAGAGCCCAGGGTCTTGCTGAATTTTGTAGGTAGAAACTACTGTCTCCCAGGATGTGTAGGCAGATTCTGGGGTCTCCCTGGATTGTGAAGGTAGAGACCAGGGTCCCTGTGGATAGTGTAGGTACATTCCAAGATCCTTCTGGATTGCACAGGCAGATCCCGGGGTTCCCCTGGATTTTGTAGGTAGAACCCCCGGGAGTCCTCTTGGATTTTGTGGGTAAGGCCCAAGAGTTCTCCTGGATTTTGTAGGTAGAACCCCCAGGAGTCCTCCTGGATTTTGTAGGTAGAATCCCTGGGAGCCCGCCAGGATTTTGTTGGTAGAGCCCGGGAGTCCTCCTGGATTTTGTAGGTAGAGCCCCCAGGAGTCCTCCTGGATTTTGCTGGTAGAGCCCGGGAGCCCTCCTGGATTTTGCTGGTAGAGCCCGGAAGCCCTCCTAGATTCTGTAGGTAGAGCCCGGGAGCCCTCCTGGATTTTGTAGGTTCAGCCCAGGAGCCTTCCTGGATTTTGTAGTAGAGCCCCTGGGAGCCCTCCTGGATTTTGTTGGTAAAGCCCGGGCGTCCTCCTGCATTTTGTAGGTAGAACCCCCAGGAGTCCTCCTGGATTTTGTAGGTAGAACCCCCGGAAGTCCTCCTGGATTTTGTTGGTAGAGCCCGGGAGTCCTCCTGGATTTTGTAGGTAGAGTCCGGGAGCCCTCCTGGATTTTGTAGGTAGAGCCCGGGAGTCCTCCTGGATTTTGTTGGTAAAGCCTGGGAGTCCTCCTGGATTTTGTAGGGAGAACCCCCAGGAGTCCTCCTGGATTTTGTAGGGAGAACCCCCGGGAGTCCTCCTGGATTTTGTAGGTAGAACCCCCGGGAGACCTCCTGGATTTTGCAGGTAGAGCCTGGGAGCCCTCCTGGATTTTGTTGGTAGAGCCCGGGAGCCCTCTTGGATTTTGTTGGTAGAGCCCGGGAGCCCTCCTGGATTTTGTAGGTAGAGCCCAGGAGCCCTCCTGGATTTTGTAGGTAAACTGTGGGATGCTCTAATTCTTCTCTTCACATTACAGAAAGATGCCCAATCAGTCGTTGTGCATCTTTACGAACAGCACAGTCACTAACGAGAGAACCATCCTCACTCTGCTGTACAGCGTGATCATCATCCTCGGGCTCTTCTTCAACGTGGTGGCTCTGTGGATCTTCCGGGTTCACATCCAGCAGCGATCCGGGACCATCTTCTACATGAGGAACCTGGCCATTGTGGATCTCCTGCTGGTCTGTTTCTTGCCCTTCCGTATCGTCGCCTATTACAGCCAGGACAGACTGTCGTGTGAGATTGCCAGCGTCATTTTTCTGATCAACATGTACACCAGCATCTTCTTCCTGACCTGCATCAGTCTGGATCGCTGCTTGGCCACGGTTTTGCCCTTTAAGGTGCGGATTTACCACTTACGCAGAGCAGCGCCCTGGGTCAGTGGCTTTGTATGGTTCCTGACTTTGGGCTGTAGCCTCCCCACGTACCTCATATGGAAATCCAACAGCAACAGGACCAGCGAGTACAATTGCCTGGAGCCCATCGTCGTCACCAAGAATTTGCCGCTGATCTTCACCCTCGCCTTTGGCTTCGGGCTCCCCTTCAGTTCGGTGCTCACCAGCTCACTCCTTGCCCTCCTGAAGATGAGGAAGACCAAGCTGTCACCCAACCTGAATATTCGCAAAACTCAGAACATGATCCTGGCCAATTTTCTCGTTTTCACCTTTTGCTTTCTGCCCTACCATGTTTTCCTGGGCCTTTACAAGAGCCTGAATGGCAAGTGGATCTGTGGTGGTCAACAGCTCTTCCAAATAACCCAAATCCTCGCCAGTGCCAACACCGTCTTCGACCCCGTGATCTACTACTTCACCACAGAGGCCTTTCAGAAAACCCATTTGATGAGGACAGTGCACAATATGATTTGTTGCAAGCATATCAGGGAGGAGCAGGAAGAGCGCACTGTGCAGAGCAGGGGGACTTACAAGAAAGCATCAGAAGTCTCCCTCTTTTTGTAGCACTGCATGAAATAATCTGCTATTTGGTGTTATTTTTCAAACACAAGTTTGCTCTTTTTCCAACATATGTTTCTGTTTTAGTTTTGACTTTTCCTTCTTGAAAAACACAAATAAACTCCCTTCTACTGCCATTTCACAGACAAGAGTTAGATACAGAGCAAAGCTCCCTCTACACTGTCCCCCATTAAATTCTCCCAGGACAAGGACAGCATGGGGTTAGATACAGAGTAAAGCTCTTTCAACACTGTTCCCATCAAACACTCCCAAGACAGGGAAAGTACTGAGTTAGATACAGAGTAAGGAATCCTCTACTCTTTTAAACTGAAAGTAAAATTATCTCTAATATATTTTCTGAAGAAGGGTCTAGACCCGAAACGTCAGCTTTTCTGCTTCTCTGATGCTGCTTGGCCTGCTGTGTTCATTCAGCTCTACACCTTGTTATCTCAGATTCTCCAATATCTGCAGTTCCTACTATCTCTAAAACTATCTCTAAATTTTTTAATTGAAAGTAAATATTCCCATCAAACACTCCAAGGACAGGGACAGCACGAGTCTGGATCTACAGTAAAGGTCTCCCTGTTCTATTAAACTGAAAGTAAAGCCCCCTCAACACTGTCCTCATCAAATACTTCCAGGACAGGGACAGCATGTATTTAGATACAGTGTAAAGCTTCCTCTGCTTTTGTAAGCTGAAGTAAAGTTGCCTCTACTCTGTTTGCATCAAACATTCCCAGAAGGAACAGCACAACATTAAATACAGAGCAAAGCATCCTCCACTCTTTCATACAGAAAGCTCCCTCTGCTCTTTTAAACAAATATTAAGGTTCCCTCTCACTGACCCATCAAACACTCCCGATACAAGGACAGCACAGGGTTAAATACAGAGTGAAGCTTCCTCTACTCTTTTGTTAAAACAGGAAGTCAAAAGTATTGATGAAACAGCACACTGCTGGGGCAAGGTCAGATGGAAACTTACTAAATTAAAATAACATTGTCTAGGCTAATAATGCACTGCAGTCTCCCTATACCTCAAACCCTCCAACCCCGGCAGCATCTTTGTAAATCTTTTCTGAACCCTTTCAAATTTCACAACATCTTTTCTATAGCAGGGAGACTGGAATTGAGTGCAGTATTCCAAAAGTGGCCTAACCAATGTCCTGTACAGCCGTAACATGACCTCCCAACTCCTATATTCAATGCTCTGACCAATAAAAGCAAGCGTACCAGATGCCTTCTTCACTATGCTGCCTACCTGCGACTCCACTTTCATGGAACTGTGAACCTGCACCCCCAAGGTCTCTTTGTTTGGCAACACTCAGCAGGACATAAGAACATAAGAACTAGGAGCAGGAGTAGGCCGTCTGGCCCTTCGAGCCTGCTCCACCATTCAATAAGATCATGGCTGATCTTTTCGTGGACTCAGATCCACTTACCCGCGTTCTCACCGTATCCCTTAATTCCTTTATTGTTCAAAAAAAATCTACCTTTTTTTTAAAAACGTTTACTGAAGTAGCATCAACTACTTCACTGGGCAAGGAATTCCATAGATTAACAACCCTCTGGGTGAAGAAATTCCTTCTCAATTCAGTCCTAAATCTGCTCCCTCTAATCTTGAGGCTATGCCCTCTTGTCCTAAGACCTTACCATTAAGTGTATAAGTACTGCCCTGATTTGCCTTTCCATGATGCAGCACCTCACATTTATCTAGTCATAGTGTCACACAGTCGTACAGAGTCATATGACGTCTACCTAGCTGACCTCGTTACAATCACTATGGCAACATAGGGCTGTTCTTTCTCCTGTAGCCTCTCCTGGGGTATTTTTGCACTGGCTCCAATTCCTCCGACTCAATCTCGGATGGGGACAGCTTGTACCAAACCGTGGCCTGCCTCTTGCGCCCAGAGCATCTCGGAAGAAATTCATCTTCTTCTTCAGCAATAAAAGCCACCGTGTCCATCTCAGACTCCAAGGTTTCTTCTACACTAGATGGAAGAGGGGAGAACCCATGGGTTCCAGATCAGTTGGAAAGACCGTTGAGGACCTGGGAACATTTTGCTTCCATACCGTTTGCGGGTTTGCAGCTTTCATATGTTCCATCTGCTTGTTCAGGACCACCTACCCAAACTTGATATGTCAGTGGACCTGACCTCGCATTGACCATGCCCCTTATCCGTACAGGGCCATTCCTGCCACCAAACTTTGTCCCCTGAAGTAATCTGCCTCTCTCATGCTTAGAGAAGTCTTGTGTCTGGCAATGATGCCATTTCACCCTCTCTCATGTCTGGGAAGATCAGAATTAACCCCGTGCAGAGTCTTCTCCCCACGAACAACTCTTCTGGAGCTAACCTGGTAGTTGCGTGAGGGGTGGTCCTATAATCAAATGGGAACCGGGGCAGTTTGGTATCCGGTGAAGTTGTAGGCTGTTTCCTTAAGCCTTCAAAGTTTGAACTACTCTTTCTGCCAGGCCATTGGACAATGGATGGTATGGAGCTGTCCTTGTATACCGAATACCATTCCACTTTAGGAAATACTCAAATTCCCTCCTGGTAAACGATGGCCCATTGTCTGTGACCAACAACTTCTGGGAGCCCGCATACTGCAAAAGATGCTCGCAGCTTTTTCTATCATTGCTCCTGCGTTTGACGAATAAACTCTGTCGACATCCAACCACTTTGAGTGGGCGTCCTCAATGACTAAGAACGTTGTGCCCATGAAAGGACCGGCATAGTCAACATGTAACTGAGTCCAGGGTTTACCCGGCCATTCCCACACGAATCTGGGGGAACTGTTGGCAGTAATTATTGTCTTCGTTGGCACTCTGGACACTGCCCCACCTGATGTGGCTTTGTTGGCTTCCAATCCTGGCCACCAGCTTCTGGCCACAGCTTGGACACCCCTGGATGACCCTGCATCTGACCTTTGCTTGGGACAATGACTCTTGTTCCCTGTAATAAAGTGCCGTCCTCTACGGTGATCTGGTCTCGCTGGGTCCAGGAAGGTTTCAATTCTGGTTGTGATGGCCCTTTGGTTTCCCCCATCACTACCAACTATTTTAGCTTTGCCAGGACGGGATCTTTTTGGGTGCACAGTCTGATATATTTATGGTGACCAGAAAGGTGGTCCAGAAAGTTTAAAACCAGAACAGACTCTTTCAGTGTGGCAGTACTGGTATATCTGGCAGTGATAGCTGGCTCAAGGCATCAGCACTTGATACCTCCTATGTTCCAACATGCAATTATAAGTGCTGAGAATAAGAGCCCACTGCTGAATTCAACATGAATCCATATGCAGCACGTCCATGTCCTGCAAATTTACGTCTGTGGAACCTACCTGAAACTTTCTGACAGCAAAGATGACAACCGAACCTTCCTTCTCTATCTGGGCGTATTTACGCATCAGCCAAAGTACGCTGTTGGGTGTTCCTCTCTATTGGGCCATGTGTGAGCCAACACTATCCCGATACCGCATGGGGACGCATTGCATTGTCAGCACCAAATCTCGCTTGGGATCATAGTGTGCCAACACCTGAGACAGTGATGGCTGTTTCTTTACTTCCCCAAAGGCTACAAGACCATTTCCAAGGCTGGTCCATTTACAATAGCAGTTGTAAGGGTGCTGGGATGGAGGCCAGGTTATATATGCACCTTCCATAATAATTCAGCAGCCCAAGGAAAGACCTAAGCTCCAGTATAGACATGAGAGCTGGGGCACCTTTGATCGCCCTCACTTTATCTTCCAACGAGTGTAACCCGGTCTGGTCAACTCTGTAACCCAGGTAGGTTATGTAGGGTACCTGGAACACATTTATCCCTCCTAAGGCATACGCCCACCTGGGAGAAACATCTAAGGACTGTGTCCAAGTTATCTAAGTGCTCCTTATTAGTCTTCCCTGTTATTAGCACCTCATCCAGATGAATGGCGACCTGGGATAGACCTTGTTACTGTCCACTGAAAAAGGGCACAAGGTGATGATACCCCACATGGCAATCTCGTATATTGGTACAAACCCTTATGGGTATCCTCATCTAACTGCAATTGTAGAAACGGATTGCTCATGTCCAGCTTTGTGAAGGTCAATCCTCCCGCCAGCTCTGTGTATAATTCTTCTATGCGAGGGATTGGGTATTTATCCAGCTGCAAGAAGCATTTACCGTAAGTTTAAGATCCCCACAATGGCAAACCAACCCATTGAGCTTCACAATCGGTACAACCGGTGCTGCCCGTTCTGCAATTGGACTGGTTTGATGATTCCTTCACTTCCCAGCTTCCTGATTTCTACCTCTACTTTGGCCCATTAGGTAAATGACAGTGGGTAGGCCTTGCAAAATCGTAGAGTTGCTTCCTGGTCAACATGCAAGGTGGCTGTGCCTGCTTTGATAGACCCTAGACGTTCCCAAAAGACTTCCCGGTATTTAATCAGGACTTCACTCAGGCAGCCATTTCCTAATCGAAAAATGTTCAGCCAATCAAGGTGATTCTTTCTCAATGCCCTTTCTCAACCAATTTCACCCCATCAGGCTTGGGCCTGAGCCTTTTACTACAATCAGTGGTAACTGAGCCAGCTGCTTCTCTAAGAGACCGGAACTGAAGTTGTACCCTTAATCTGTAAAGGTTCCCCGGTATAGGTTCTCAGTCTAGCCAAGGTCTTATGCAAACCTAAGGGTTGGAGTCAAGAGCAAATTTTGTGAAATGCTGGTTCTGCAATCACTGATATAGCCGCACTGGTATCAACTCCATTAGAACCAGGTGACCATTTAACCACATATTTATTTTGATTGGTTCTGATTTGGATGTTGCTAAGCAATTTAACTGTTCCAAGCCAGACGTATGTAGGTTTTCCAGGGTGTGCGCTGTCCTGGATACCGGCCTTTGAGTTTTCTTATACAATTCAGGCCTAGTGGGACTCTTTTTCTGTCCTGAGTCTGCATACTGGCAGCAACTACAGTGGTTTACTGGCCCGGATCATGAAGAAAATATTAATCATTTGGCTAAGCTTGGCTTTGTTTTGAGGTTTTGCTGTGGACTGACCCAGAGTCCCTCTGCTCAGGATATGTCCTGAGTGAAACAATGCAATTGCCTTCACTCAAGTGGTGTTCCCCAAGCTCAGTCAGCCTGATGAGAGTGTCAAGAA